TCTCAAGAGCATATTTAAAATCATTTTATAACAATATTTTACTTATTGTGATTCAGAAAAATTGTCAATTGAACTAGACTCTTAAGAAAATTTGTTTTCACTTATAGTGGGAGAATTCAACACCCCACTCTCACCATTAAACAGGACCACAGACAGAAACTTAACAAAGAAACAAAGGAATTAATAGAAGTTATAACACAATTGGGTTTAACAGACATATATAGAACTTTCCATCTGAACAAAAATGAATATACTTTCTTCTCAGCATCACATGTAACCTTCTCTAAAATCGATAGCATATTCAGCAACATAGCCAACCTCAACAGGTACAAAAATTGGAATAAAGCCCTGTATCTTATCAAACCACCATTCTTTAAAGTTATAAGTCAATAACACAAATTGCAGAAAACCTAAAAACTCATGGAAATTCAACTATGTGCAATTGCACCATTCCTGGGTTAAGGAAGAAATAAAAAAGAAATTAAAGACATTTTAGAATTCAATGAGAATGAAGACACAACATACCTAAACTTATGGGACACTTAGTACTGAGAAAAGTACTAAGAGGAAAGTTCATAGCACTAAGTGCCCAAATGAAGAAACTGGAGAATGGTCACACTAGAGAATTAACAGCCCAACTGAAACTCTAGAACAAAAAGAAAGAAACTCACCCCAAAGGAGTACACGGCAGGAAATAAGCAAATTGAGTGCTGAAATCAATAAAGTAGAAACTAGGAAAACAATACAAAGACTCAATGTAACAAACACTTGGTTCTTTGAGAATATCAACAAGCAGACAAATCTTTATCTAAAATTACCAAACTGCAGAGAGCGAACACGAAAATTAACAAAATCAGAAATGAAAGGGGTATATAACAACAGACACTGAAGAAATTCAGAGACTTATCAGGTCATATTTTGAAAACATGTAATCCAAAAAATTCAAAAATCTAAAGGAAATGGACAATTATTTGGATAGATAACATTTACCAAAATTAAATCAAGAGCAGATAAGACCAATAACCCCTAATGAAATAGAAGTAGTCATCAAAAGTCTCCCAACCAAAAAAACCCAGGGCCAGATGGTTTCAGTGCAGAATTCTACTAGAAATTCAAATAACAGCTAATACCAATTCTCCTCAAAGTATTCCATACAATGGAAGCAGAAGGGTCATTGCCAAACTCTTTTTACCTGGCTACAGTTAACTTCATACCCAAACCACACAAAGACACAACTAAGAAAGAGAATTATAGACCAACATCCCTCATGAACATTGATGCAAAAATACTCAATAAAATAATGACAAATCAAATCCTAGAACACATCAGAAAAATCGTCCACCATGAACAATTTGGCTTCATCTCAGGGATGGAGAGGGGGTTTGACATACAAAAGTCCACCAATGTAATCCACCATATAAACAAACTGAGAGAGAAAAATCACATGATTATCTCACTAGATTTTGAAAAGGCATTTGACAAAATTCAACAACCCTTCATGATAAAGGTCTTTGAGAGAACAGGGTTAACAGGAACCTACTTTAACATAATGAAAGCAATATATAATAAACAAACAGCCAAGATCAAACTAAATGGACAGAAACTCAACATGATTCCTCTAAAATTAGGAACAAGACACTTGTATCCACGCTCTCCATATCTCTTCAATATTGTATTTGAAGTTCTAGCTGGAGCAATAAAACAACAAAAGGAGATCAAGTGGACACAAATTGGAAAAGAGGAAGTCAAACTTTCACTATTTACAGATGATATGATACTTTATGTAAGAAACAAAAAAGTTCTACCAGGGAACTCTTACAGCTTAAAACACCTTCAGTAAAGTGGCAGGATACAAGAGTGTCTGTGCTACTGATCAGGAAGAAGTCTTCTGTATTAATTTGTTCGAGGATACTTCCTACTTTCTCTTCTAAGAGGTTCAGTGTGGCTGTGTTTATGTTGAGGTCTTTGATCCATTTAGACTTAAGTTTTGTGCGTGGCAATAGATATGGATCTATCTGCATTTTTCTACATGCCAGCATCCAGTTATGCTTTCTTTTTTCCATTGTATAATTTTAGCTTCTTTGTGAAACATCAGGTGTTCATAGGTGTGTGGGTACATATCAGGTTTTTCAATTGGTTTCCATTGGTCTACCTGTCTATTTTTCTGCCAATACCATGCTGTTTTTCCAGACTATAACTCTATAATAGAGCTTGAAGTCAGGGATGGTAATGCCTCTGGAAGTTCCTTTATTGTATTGGGTTGTTTTGGCTACCCTGGGTCTTTTGTTTTTCCAAATAGATTTGAATATTGGTCTTTCAAGATCTGTGAAGAATTGTCCTGGGATTTTGATGGGGATTGCATTGAATTTGTAGATGCTTTGAGCACAATTGCCATTTTTACTATGTTAATCCTACCTATCCAATAGCATGCGGAATCTTTCCATTTTCTGGTATCTTCTTTCATTTCTTTCTTCAAAGACTCAAAGTTCTTTAGTTATAGGTCTTTCACTTGCTTGGTTAGTGACACTGAGACTGACTATTAATACATGGGACCTCCTGAAACTGAGAAGTTTCTGTAAGGCAAAGGACAGTCAACAGGACAAAATGGTTGGTCACAGAATCAGAAAAGATATTCACCCACCCCACAACTGACAGTGGGCTGATCTCCAAAATATATGAAGAACTCAAGAAGCTAGTCAGCAAAACATCAAATAAACTAAATAGAGAATTCTCAATAGGGGAGTCTAAAATGGCTGATAGACACTTAAGAAAGTGCTCAACATCCTTAGCCATCAGGGAAATGCAAATGAAAACAACTCTGAGACACCATCTTGCTCCTGGCAGAATAGCTAAAATCAAAAACACCAATGACAGTTTATGCTGGAGAGGATGTGGTGAAAGGGGAACACTCCTCCACAGCTGGTGGGAGTGCAAACTTGTACAGCCACTTTGCAAATCAGTATGGGGGTTCCTTAGGAAAATAGGGATCAGTCTACCACAAGATGAAGCAATTCCACTCTTAGGCATATACCCAAAAGATGCACATCCATGCCACAAGGGCATCCATTCAACTATGTTCATGGCAGCATTATTTGTAATAGCCACAAACTGGAAGCAACCTAGATTCCCCTCAACTGAATAATGGATAAAGAAAATGTGGTACATTTACACCATAGAGTACTACTCAGCAGAAAACAAAAACAAAAACAAACAAAAAACAATGGAATCTTCAAATTCGCAGGCAAATGGATTGAGCTTGAAGAAACCATACTGAGTGAGATAACCCAATCACAAAAAGACAAACATGGTATGTACTCAATCTCAAGTGGATATTAGACATAGAGCAAATGATTACCAGCCTACAATCAACAAACCCAGAGAAGCTAGGAAACAAGGAGGACCCTAAGAGAGAAGTACATGGTCCCCCAGAGAAGGGGAAAGGAACAAGATTTCCTGAGGTAATTGGGAGCATGGGGTTGGGGAAAGAGAGTTAAGAGAAAGAGAAGGGGAGAAGAAGAGGGAAGAGGAGAATATAAGGGAGCAGGAAGATTGAGTCAGGGGAAGAATAGAGGAGCAAGAAAAGAGATACCATAATAGAGGCAGCTATTTTAGGTTTAAAGAGAAATCTGGCACTATGAAAAGTCCAGAGATCTACAAGGAAAACTCCAACTAACAATCTAAGCAATAGTGGAGAAGCTACCTTAAATATCCTTCCCCTATAATGAGATTGATGACTACCTTATATGCCATCCTAGAGCCTTCATCGAGTAACTGTTGGAAGCAGAAGCTGACACCCACAGCTAAACACTGTACTGAGCTCCTGGAATCTAGTTGCAGGGAGGGAGGAGTTATGAGCAAAGGTACCAAGACCAGGCTGGAGAAACCCATAGAAATTACTGAGCTGAACAAGGAGGAGCTCATGGACCCCAGACAGATATTTGGAAACCAGCCTAGGATTGATGCTGTCCCCATGAATGTGGGTGTCAGTTAGGGGACCTGGGCAATCTATGGGGCCTCTGGTAGTTGATCAGTTTTTATCCCTAGTATATGAATGGACTTTGGGAGCTCATTCCACATAGAGGGTAACTCACTTGGCCTAGACACATGGGGGAGGGCCTAAGCCCTGCTCTAAATGATATGGCAAAGTTTGAAGATCCCCATGGAAGGCCTCACCTTCCCTGGGTAGCATAATGAGAATGGGATAGGGGTCAGTGGGGTCCAAGGGAAGAGGAGAGGGAGTGGGAACTGGGATGGACATGTAAAACTATCTTGTTTCTAATTTAAATAAAAAATTCAAAAAAAGAATACATAAGTATGTCACTGTATTGTAATGATAGATTTTTTCAGTCAGATTTTAAAGACTTGTGTAGTCATGGTATACTGGTCATTGATTTCAACTTTTTCTCGTCTTTCCTACCAGATGGCATGCTTTCTTTACTATTTTCCTTTTTCTTCTCATTTGTTCCATTTAAGTTTAATTTTTATCATTTTAGTTTCTTTTTAGTGCACATTTTATAACCATTCCATTATTTTTGTTGAGTAAATGGAAGCATGACATTAAATAAAACTTTATTTTTTTATCTGAAAGTCCCATGCGTTCATGCAATATATATTAGTCGTATCGACCCACCATCATCTCTCTCAAATTTCCCCTAGTGCCCCATCCCATCTCCTTCCCAGATTCAGGTCCTCTTTCGCTTTAGTTAAGGATAAACCCATTAGTTCATTCAATATTGCCAATATGCACATGCTGTTTAGACATCCACTGGGGGATGAACACCCTTCCAGTGTCCACATCTACAAGGAACAATGATCCTCCCTCAGCATCCATCACCCACCAAAGGGGTATTTTTATGCACCATAGGGGCCCTTTCTTCACCCACGCTGGAATTTTGATGGGTTTGTTTCCCTACCCACAGGACACTCAACGTGGGTCTGGTGGACACCTAGGAAAAAGATGGGGGGCAGGGGACAGACGCCAAGACAAGAGTATGATCAAGGTGAAACTTTTATTCATTCCAAAGGGATTTATATAGGGGAAAGGAGGAGGGGAAGGAATGGGGGATGTGCTGTAGCTGCAATGAACCTGGCAGAGTGAATGTCAGTGGGATGGGTAGGGCATCCTGTGTCCTCTGGTAACCTAATTGAAGACTCTAACTTTATCTTTCACATTCCACCTTCTATTGTTTAAGCCTACGCCCTAGGTAAGCCGCAGGTCTGTTTCTAGAATTTGGTAGGTAGCAGAGTGGTCCTGAGTCACATACTTTCTGTGAGGCAGCTGTACCTGGTTGATGGCTGGAGGTTCCTGACAGGTTTGATATTGTGCTAATAACCACATGCAGCAGCCATGTCATGTCAAGAAGGCAGCATTTCATTGGTCTTCTCCCACTCGCCGATTCTTAAAAATCTTTCTGTGTTCTTGTCTGTGAAGTTGCCTGAGCCTCTGCTGGAAGGAAGTTGATAAAGTTGACCATACCACATATGAGCGCTCAGAGTTATTTATATTCAGTACTTTGACCGGTTATGTCTCTGCACTGATCACTGCCCATTACAAAAAGAAACTTTTATGACCAAAGTTGAGAGCAACACAAATCTGTAAGTACAAGCATCAATGATGATAACGCTATTTGACAGCGTGATTATTTAGCAAAACAGTAGCTGCTACCTCCACCCAAGATCTGTGATATCCGCACTCATAGTGTTTTGGTTTATAGAAACAAGGTTTATAGAAACAAGCATTCTACCAGTGGAGCAGGCCTCAAACCCAGTCAGAAAGTGGGTGGTTGCCCCCACAGCCATCACACTTCTATTATACCAGTGTGCACAGCTTACCAGCAGGTCATTACTGTAGCATAGGGCTCGAACTGTGTAGGAACACTGTCTTTTCTCCCCTTACAGTTTGTACATCACCTTTCCGCATTATGTGAGCTAGCCAGCATGGAGAGCATTTTCTGGCCAATTAAGACTGGTGTCTCTATGTCCTTCATCCAAGTGTTAACTGGCTTTAGCAATAAGGTCTTATCACCTAGTTATGGTGAGAGTAATGGCAATAGCCTGTGTTGTTTTGGGGTGCCTCTTCAAACTCCTTGATGAATAACTCATAGAGAGATACACTTAACATCCATGTTCATTGAGGCTCAATTCATAATTGGGAATTGGAATCAACCAATATATCTACTAATGAATTCATAAGGAAAATTTGCTACATATACACAATGGCACACTACCCAGCTATGAAGAAAAAATAAAATTTGCAATTTGAATGGAACTGGTAAATACTAAACTGAGTGAGATCACTCAGGATCAGAAAGATAAACATCATATGTCTTTTTCATGAGCAGATTCTATCGTTGAATCTTTTGTTCTGTATGTGTAACCTGAATTACATGTGAAAGCTGGGAAAATAGAAGTAGGCCATTGGAGGTGGACACCTTAAAGGAGGAAAAAATAAAATTCAGGTAAAATGATACCTAGGTAGGGGATACTGAGGGTGGGAATGTTCAAGCAAGAAGGTGGTGGGGAATGGGGAAATAAGGTGCTGGTGGCAAAGGCTTAAAGATATCTATCATACATATAGCTGTACATCTATATGCAATTATAAGAAATAACATAGAGATATCCCCATGTACTGTTTAGGGAGTTTCCTCCAAAGATAACCTTTCAAAATTATTATCACAACTGTTTTACTGACAGTTGCACAGTCAACATACAAAACACTTATACAATTTCTAGGTCCTCCTACTTTCCCCACTTACAGCCATGTGCAATTTTTTCATGCTTTCATCCTCAATCCTCTTCTTCAATCCTAGTCACCATGCCCTTCCCCACTTATGTAATCTTCTAATTTAAGAATGTGCTATGAATGGAGTCATATAGTATGTAAGCTTTAGAGTGTTGACTGTTTTCACATTTAAAACTATTCTCTGAATATTTTATCAGGTTGTTTATATCAACATTTCATCCTGTTTTAAACCATTTGCACATTGTTCAATTTCCATGACTTTTTAGGTCTTCTGAAGTTTGTGTTGTTGTTGAATTCTAACTTTAAATCATGGAGTTATTCCATTTTTTATACTTATTGAGTTTGCTATGTTGCCAATTTTAGAGAAGGTTTCATGTGGCACTAAGAAGGTGTATTCTTTTATGTTCTATAGATGTCTGCTAGACCCAATTGGGTCATAACTTCTACTAGTTCCTTTGTTTCTGTTACATTTCTTTCTGGTGGTCCTGTCTAGTGGTGAGAGTGGGGTGTTGAAGTCTCCCACTATAAGTGTGTGAGGTTTTATGTGTTATTTGAGTTTTAGTAATGCTTCTTTTACAAATGTGGATGTCTTTGTATTTGGGACATAGATGTTCAGAATTGAGACTTTATCTTGATGGATTTTTCTTGTGATGACTATGAAATGACCTCCTTCATTTCTTTTGATTGATTCTAGTTTGTTAGATATTAGTTGTTCCACATCTTGACCTTCCTCCTCAATATGTTTTCATGACAGCAATAAAATATATTTGATTCTTTGAACTTGAAGCATAAGATAATATTCTAGGAAAATAACCACATCTTTATTTCTTGATTGATAGTGTTTTAAATTGCTGCCATTTTTCCTGTTTGAAACTAAGATTACTGGAACATCTTTGAGTGTATCCAAACATATCCTAGTATTCAGTACATATTTACAGCAGTATAGTCAGTATACATTTATGATAATAATGCTACATTATAATCCTGTATTTTGCATATATTATTTCCTATATCCCTTGTGTGGAATGGATAATTTCCAAGCAGTTGTTCCTCTTTCTTATTCTCTTAACAATTTTAATTACATGGTAACATGTGAGAGAAAATTAATAGAAAGCAAAACCATAGTAGTATAATTTAGATGAAATAGAAAATAATGGAAGATTAGACAAAAATCAGATTAGGGCAAGAAACATCTTGGTGAAAAAAAAAGACCTGGAATTTCCCCAAAGTGATAAAGAATAGCTAAAATGTAATCATTCTACTCACTCATTCCCATTCTTTCTTCATTCTTATCTTCAATTTGCAAAAGCATTCAACTGATGCAAATCATATAATTTTAAGTGATATTTTGAAATGTGTGGAATTATTGAGGACCAGTCTAATAAATGGTGAGAAATTGTCTCAGGAAACATTTGAGGGAAAAGACTAGTTCAAAGCAGTATTTGGAAGATGGGAAAACAGAGAATGTGATGAAGGCAAAGAGAGAAATAGAGAGTATGGACATTGTGCTTACACAAGTGTGAGGAATAACTGATAACCACCATGGAGTACATCAGTGTCCCCCATAGCCTTGACTTGCATGCACTAACAAACACTGACCTCTGACAGCTAGGCTGCTTACCAAGAACCAGCAGAAATAAGCCTAGTCCCAGTGGAGTAGACCCATAAGTCTGTCAAGAGGATGCTTCTTAGACTCTCCTTCTGCATATGAGCTTCCTCAGGCCCTGCTTCAGGTCTTTGTTTCTCAAACTGTAGATGAAAGGGTTTAGCATAGATGTCAAAACTGTGTAGACAACTGTTGCTATATGGTCCTTGACAGTGTAAGTAGACACTGGCTGTAAATACACATAGAAGATGCTTCCATAAAAGAGGGTTACCACGGTGAGGTGGGAGCCACAGGTGGAAAAGGCTTTGCGTTTCCCAGCAGCAGAAGGGATCTTTAGAACCGTAAGAAGGATTCTTATGTAGGAGAAGGCGATGCATAGAAATGGGGTCACCAAAACAAGAGCTCCTTCTGTCACTATCACAATCTCATTGACAAATGTAGAGGAGCAGGATAATTTCATCAGAGGACTGAGGTCACAGATGAAGTGGTGAATAACGTTGGAGTCACAAAAAGTAAGAAGATTCAGCAAAAGTGTGTGCAGAAGTGAGTGAAGGTGAGGAAGACAGCAAGAGATGGTGACCAGAAGGACACATCGATGGTGGCTCATGATGGTGACGTAATGGAAGGGGTTGCAGATGGCCACATAGCGGTCAAAGGCCATGACTGCCAGAAGACAGCTATCACTGTTGCCCAAGGCATAGAGAAAATACATCTGTGTCAGACACCCAGCATAGGAAATTATCTTTTTTTCTGACAGAAAATTCACCAGCATCTTGGGGACAATTGTAGTAGTGAAGCAAATGTCAGTGAAAGACAGAAAACTCAAGAAAAAATACATGGGAGTCTGGAGACGGGAGTCAGAGTGGATGGCCAGAATGATGAGCAGGTTCCCAGCTATGGTGACCAGGTAAACGGTGAGGAAGAGGATAAAGAGTGGCTTTTGGTCCTCGGGCCGAGAGGAAAGTCCCACCAGGATGAATTCAGAGACACTGATGGTTTGGTTAACTCTTTCCATTGATGTTGATCCAGTTAGACACAAGAAGCTGTTATTTAACACATACAGTGATCCAAATCATGAGAACTCAGCAAGTTTTTATTCCATGTTCCTAGGATATGAAGATGAGAATTCAATGGTTCTTTTTATAATACTGTGGCTTTTGCTTTCTCTAAAACCTGTGTTGTAAATCACATGAAGATCAAAGTAGACAGACAGAAAACCAAAAACCAGATTTGGGTTTCCATTGGATCTTGGGAGTTACTAATTCAAAAATGTTTAGAACCACAAAGATTAAAGGAAAGAAGTGTGAGGCTCCAAGGAATGGCCAGGAGGGTGGGCAGCCTCTTCCAGCTCACCTCCACATCCAAAGTCTTTGCTTTCAGCTTTCTCCAGGAGCTGACAGTCTGTGTATCTGCAATTGGTTCCAAATCTGTCTCTCAACCAGTATTCAACTTCATTCTTCTCCTCTGGCTGAAGCTGGATAAGAAGAGACAGGAAATGAAGACAGAGCTAATAGCTGCTCAAAGGGGCAATACATCTTCCTTCTCTGACCTCAACACCTCATTTCCCCCCTAATCTCTGGCTCCCATCATGATGCTACTTTCTCAGCTCTCATCTCAAAAGACAGAGCTGTCCTGACTCTGGAGGCAAAGGCAAAAGTCCAATTAGAGTCTTGTGGTTTCAACTTTGCTAAACCTGGTTCTGGGTTCCTTCTGAGGATGACAGTTGTGCGATGACCTCTAAAGGAAATTTGTTCTGTGATTGCTCTAAGTAGAGAAAATTTGAGTCATAGTTACCAGAGCTAACTCCACAGGGATGGGATCCCTGAGGCTTCCGTCAAATGTTGGAGCTAATCTCAGACTGCTTTAACTTGATTTCAGTGTCTCAGGGGTATGCCTTTGAGCAATTATTATTAGGGGTGTAGATGCATGTGGACGAATATTTTTATGTTGGGGGAATTTACTTATTTTTATTAATCCTCTGAGAATTTCCTACAGTGTATTTTGATCAACACCAGCCCCCACTTCTCCCATATCAACTCTCTGCTTAGCTGTTTTAACTGCTGTGTGTTTTGTTTCTCTGATTTCCAGTTCTCTGCTGATGCCCGGAGTGGACTGTCCTTTCGTATTTTTATTGACCATTCGTGTATCGTCTCTGGTGAAGTGTCCGCTTAGGTCTTCAGCTCAGTGTTTTATCACCCCTCACCTGGACTCCCGTACGCCTTCGTGCCATGTGTGCCCTGTTGCCCCCCCCACTTCACCACCACTCCTTGTTTTCTGTCACCCTCTGACTATTCTCTTTGTAGTTTCATCGCCTGTACTCACGCTCAATTCCACTTGCATCCACACATGTGGAGTTCATAGGCTAGGATTCACATGAGAGTCAGAATGCACAATTTTGGGCTTTCTGCATGTGGTTACTTAGTGCAATGCTCTCCGGATTGTGATGGCTACTCTTGGTTGTCAACTTGACTGCATCTGGAATTAACTGAAACCCAAATGGCTGGGCACCTGTGAGATTTTTTTTTCATAAATCATTTGAAGTGGAAAGAGTCACTTTCTTTGAGATGGGTAGATATGTGAGGAGCCGCCCTCGCTATCGCTATTGCCGTTAGAAGATGGCGCTGACATCTGCTGTCAGTTGGAGTTAACCGTTAGAAGATGGCGCTGACATCTGCTGTCAGTTGGAGTTAACCGTTTAAGCTGTGCCTCTCCCGTGGCGTCATCTGGGGTGATGTGCAAACCACCAATCCCGGCTCTACACGTCTCGCTCGGAGCTCCTAGGCTTATATAAGGGGCTGGGTTTCTTAGCTTGGGGTCTCCCTCTAAGAAGCTGATCATCTATCTCTCAAGATGCATTAAAGCTTTACTGCAGAAGGATCCGAGTGTTCTGCGTCGTTCTTGCTGGCGAGACGGTAGCGCGGGACATCTGGTGCCGAAACCCGGGAACTCTTCAACATCGCCGGTGCCGCGGGAGACCCCTCGGAAGACGGGGCGGATTCAGAACTGCAGGGACGTAAGTTCAGAGAGGTATGCTTTATCCTGAACACCCCCTTTCTCGACTTTGGCCTTAGTTTGTCATCACCGTGGGACGGGTCAGTGGAGGCTTTGGTGCTAGTCCTGTTTGTCCTTCTCCTTCATCGTGGCTGGTGCTGACAGAACGGTGCTGTCAGTCTGGTGCTGTCAGTCTGGTGCTGTCAGTCTGGTGCTGTCAGTCTGGTGCTGTCAGTCTGGTGCTGTCAGTCTGGTAACGGAGTTGAGCGCCGTTTTTAGATAAGCCGCCAGCGCGATGGGGTTGTCACAGTCAGTGGTTACTGCCCTACAGACTGTGCTAAAACAAAGAGATCTTAAAATTGCACCACGAACACTTCAAAATTTTGTGAAGGAGGTAGATAGAGTGGCACCATGGTATGCTTGTTCCGGGTCCCTCACTGTGGCCTCATGGAACAAGCTAGGTAAAGAATTAGACAGGAAGCATGCAGAAGGAGATCTCCACTTAGGTACCAAAGCCATTTGGAAGCTAGTTAAAAACTGCTTGGAGGATGAGGCCTGTCACCCTGCTATAATAGAAAGTCAGGGAACCTTAGAGGAAGTTCAGGATAGCATGTCAGAAACTGAACGGAGTGAGAGAATGGGAGCTCGCAAAAGGAAAGACATGTCTAAGAAAAAAGGCCCTCCCCGAGAAGTTAAGAAAGGGGGAGAGAGAGAAGGGAGTGATCATTCACCCCCTAACAAATCTAAGAAAAAGAAAAAGCCAGAATCTAGTCTATACCCAACAGTAGAGCTAGAAGCCTTGGAGCTAGATAATTCTGATTCTGACACTCTGTATTCTAGCGAAGAAGGTGGTCTAGAGGAGGAGGTGGCACGGTATGAGGAAGAAAGATATCACCCTGATAGACACCGGCCACAGAAAACAAAAATGAATGTGAGGCCACCGCCTATAAATCCGGCGGGCTCACGCCCCTCAGCGCCTCCGCAGTATGAGCTTCGGCTGAATACTGGTACTGACTCCTTTTTACCTTTAGAGGAACGGAGAAAAATACAAATGGCTTTTCCAGTATTCGAGAATGCGGAAGGCGGAAGAGTACATACCCCTGTAGATTACAATCAAATCAAAGAATTGGCCGAATCCGTTCGTAATTATGGGGTCAATGCTAACTTTACCACATTACAGGTGGAAAGGCTTGCTAATTTTGCCATGACTCCCACTGACTGGCAGACGACAGTGAAAGCAGTGCTTCCCAACATGGGACAATACATGGAATGGAAGGCTCTCTGGTATGATGCAGCCCAGGCACAAGCTAGAGTTAATGCCACGGCTGAAGATGAGAATCAGAGGCAGTGGACATTTGAAATGCTGACAGGTCAGGGTCAACATGCCCTTTATCAAACCAACTACATCTGGGGTGTCTATGGTCAGGTGTCGGCCGCCGCTATTAAAGCATGGAAGGCCCTCACAAAAAGGGGAGAGTCCAGTGGACACCTTACAAAGATTGTCCAAGGACCCCAAGAGCCATTTTCAGACTTTGTGGCCAGAATGACAGAGGCCGCCAGTCGCATCTTTGGTGATTCAGAACAAGCTATGCCCCTGATTGAGCAACTTGTCTATGAACAAGCAACCCAGGAATGTCGAGCGGCTATCGCCCCTCGCAAAAGCAAAGGTTTACAAGATTGGCTCAGAGTGTGCAGGGAGCTGGGGGGACCCCTAACCAATGCAGGACTAGCTGCCGCCATTTTACAAACGCACAGGCGTGGAGATTTATCTAATCGAAAAGCTTGTTTTAATTGTGGGAGAATGGGGCACCTTAAGAAAGATTGTCAAGCCCCTGAAAGAACAAGAGAATCGAAGCTTTGCCATCGTTGTGGTAAAGGTTATCATAGGGCTAGCGAATGCAGGTCAGTCCGGGATGTAAAAGGGAGGCTTCTGCCCCCTATTGAAGAACCCAAGGTACCCCAATCAAAAAACGGGTCACGGGGCCCATGGTCCCAGGGCCCTCAGAAATATGGGAACCAATTTCAGAAAAGCAATCAAGAGGAAGTAGAGGCTTCCGAGGAACCCCCGGAATGGACTTGCGTGCCGCCTCCGACTTCTTACTCATGCCCCAAATGAATGTTCAACCGGTCCCAGTCCATTCCCCTGGACCTTTGCCCCCTGCCACCATTGGGCTTATTCTGGGCCGTGGCTCCTTAACTTTACAGGGACTCATTATATATCCTGGGATTGTTGACCCGTATCATAAAGAGGAGATTCAAGTTCTCTGTTCTAGCCCTCGGGGTGTATTTTCTATAAAGCAGGGAGATAGAATTGCACAACTGGTGTTGCTGCCCTCCCTCGGGGATGGAGAAACCTACACTTTACAAAAAAGGGCTATGGGATCTTCTGGAAGTGATTCAGCCTATCTGGCTATACCCCTAAATGAGAGACCTACAATAAAATTGTTAATTAATGGAAAAGAATTTGAAGGGATAATGGATACGGGAGCAGACAAAAGCATTATTTCACTCCATTGGTGGCCAAAGTCTTGGCCCACTGTTGTTTCATCTCATTCTCTACAAGGTCTTGGATACCAGTCCTCTCCTGCCATCAGTGCCTCAGCCTTAACCTGGCGGAATGCTGAGGGCAAACAGGGATGTTTTACCCCCTATGTGTTGCCACTCCCTGTAAATTTATGGGGACGGGATGTGTTACAAGCCATGGGCATGACCCTAACTAATGAATACTCCCCCAGGCATCAGCCATTATGGCAAAGATGGGGTATACAAATGGTAGAGGCTTGGGTAGGCAAGAACAAGGCAGAATAAAACCCATTACGCAACACGGAAATTGGGGTAGAAAAGGACTGGGTTTTATTTAGGGGCCGTTGAGGCTTCACGACCCATACCATGGAAAACAGAGGAGCCGTTATGGGTCTCTCAATGGCCTCTATCCTCTGAAAAATTAGAGGCTGTCACAAGATTAGTGCAAGAACAGGAACGGCTGGGGCATCTAGAGCCTTCTACCTCCCCATGGAATACACCAATTTTTGTTATTAAGAAGAAATCTGGGAAGTGGAGATTACTCCACGACCTGCGGGCCATTAACAATCAGATGCATCTTTTTGGCCCTGTTCAAAGAGGACTTCCTTTGCTTTCTGCACTTCCTCAAGATTGGAAGCTTATTATTATAGATATTAAGGATTGTTTCTTCTCTATTCCACTTTACCCACAGGATAGACCAAGGTTTGCCTTCACTATCCCTTCTCTTAATCATATGGAACCAGACAAGAGATTTCAGTGGAAGGTACTGCCGCAAGGCATGGCCAATAGCCCAACAATATGTCAGCTGTATGTGCAGGAGGCTTTGGAGCCAATTAGGAAGCAATTTACATCTTTAATCGTTATCCATTATATGGACGATATTCTTATTTGTCACAAAGAGTTAGATGTTTTACAAAAGGCTTTTCCCATGCTGGTGGCTGAATTAAAACAGTGGGGATT